TGGGGGGGGGGGCAGAGGGAGAGACAGAGAGAGAAGGAGAATCTCAAACAGGCACCATGCTCAGCATGAAGCCCAACACGGCATGAAGCCCACGACACTGGGATCGTGACCTAAGCCAAAATCAACTGAGCCACCCAGGTGACCCTTACCATTTCTTTTTTAATCTGCATGCCTTTGCTTTCTTTTTCTTGCCTGATTACACTGGATAAAACCTCCACTACAATGCTGGATAGAAATGCTGAGAGTAGACATCATTGCCTTTTTCCTTGTCGTAGAGGAAACGCATTCCATCGTTCATCATTAAATATGATGTTAATTAGGGATTTTTCATAGAAATCCTTTATCAGTTGAGGAAATTCCTTCCACCTCAAGATTTCTGAGAGTTTTTAATCAGTGATGGATACTAGATTTTGTCACATGTTTTTTTCTGCATCTCTCTTTTTTTAATGTTTATTTTTGAGAGAGAGAGAGAGAGAGAGAGAAAGAGAGAGAGAGACCAAGCACGAGTGGGGGAGGGGCAGAGAGAGAGGGAGACACAGAATGCAAAGCAGGCTCCAGGCTCCTAGCGGTCAGCACAGAGCCTGACATGGGGCTCAAACTCACAGACCGCGAGATCATGACCTAAGCTGAAGTTGGAGGCTTAACCGACGGAGCCACCCAGGCACCTCTATTTTTTTAATGTTTAATTTTTTAATTAAATTAATTTTAATTAATTTTTTAATATTTTTAATGTTTATTTCTGAGACAGAGAGAGACAGAGCATGAGCAGGGGAGGGGCAGAGGGAGAGGGAGACACAGAATCCAAAGCAGGCTCCAGGCTCCGAGCTGTCAGCACAGAGCCCGACGCAGGGCTCGAACCCACAGACCTTGAGACCATGACCTGAGCCGAAGTCGGACACTCAGCCGACTGAGCCAGCCAGTGTCCCTTCTGCATCTCTTGAAGTGATTATATAGTTTGTCTTTTTTAGTCTGCTAATGTGGCAAATTACATTTTTGAATATTAAGCCAACCTTGCATTTCTGAGGTAAGTCCCACTTGCTTGTGATACATCATCCTTTTTCTATATTGTTGGGTTCAATTGGCTAAAATTCTGTTAAAAATTTTTGTATATGCATTCATGAGAGATATTGGTCTATGGTTTTCTTCTTCTTTTTTTTTTTTTTCTGGTTTTGGTATCAGGGTGGAGTATATTGGTGAGTATTCTCTCCTTTTCATATTCTGAGAGAGTTTGTAAAAAATTGGTATTATTTCTTTAAGGATTTGGTGCAGTTCCCCAGTGAAGCCTTCTGGCCTGGAGTGTTCTTTGTGAGAAGATTTCTAACTGCACATTTCAATTTCTTTAATAAATACAGAGCTACTCAAGTTATCTGTTTCTTCTCAAGTGAGCCCCATTATTTTGGGTGCATAAAGAAAAACCCCATTGTTTTCCTTACACTACACACGATACTCTGAGTGCATCGTACCCAGTGTGTGGTAGGTTTTTCCCAACATCAAGCAAGTATCTGCCACACCAGCTGGGTGGTCCATAATTCAACTCGATTCTGACCCTACTTGAAGATGGCCTCAGACTCCACAGGTTAAGGGCTTAGTCTCACAAGACTCTCTCTGCCCACACTTCAGATGCAATCACAAGTCCCAGATTGTTCCTGTGCTTCTGACTGACTGGCCATAAATCCGAGTTCCCGTGACCTCCTCCTTGGGTTTCGTTATTTGCTAGAACGGCTCACAGAACTCAGAGCAACACATTTACTAGTTGGTTATAAAAGAATATGATAAGGAATACACACATCTACGTAGATACACTCACACATAAGTGTACTCATATGTGTATATATACCTATATGTAAAACACAGGCGTAAACATATATTAATCGTACACATGCAATTTGCTTATTTTTGACATGAAAACACACACTGGAGGAGTAAATCAGAAACTAAGAAAAATTAATGGAAATGAGAACAGGGGATGAGGAGAACAAAGTGGAGGATATAGGGAAGATTTCTTTGGGTATAATTTTATTTTGTGCACGTAACGGTGATTTTTGAACTGCATAAACGTATTGCATATTCAAAAATGAAATACAATCCAAAGAAAAACAAAAGAAATTCTAGAATTGAAAACAGGCTGAAATAGGTCCACTTGGACATCAAATGTGTAATATAATTACACATCTCCTCGTGCACATGTGCATATACTTCAGTTGGATATTGTTTTGGGGGGTCGCACAGCTACCCTCAACTTCAGTGATATTCTAGGGGGACTGGTAAGACTCAGTAACAGCTAATACTTACAGATGAGGTTTATTACAACGAAAGATACAGAACAAAAGCTTCTGTGTTGTCTGGTAGTGGGGAACTGTCTCAGTGTATGTTGAAGTATCTTTATTTCATCTTCATTGTTGAAAGATGTTTGTTCCAAGGTTGTGTTTCAACCCATCCAGATACCAGTCCATTGTCTTCTGGCTTCCATTGTTTCTCATGAGAGTCAGCTAACAACTGAATTGCTAATCCTGTGAAAGTAACAGCCTTCTTTTCCCTCTCCTATTATCTGTATGATTTTTCCTTGTCTTTGGTTTTCAGCACTTATACCCTGCTGTGTCTGTTGTTATTGCTGTATTCTCTTTGGTGTTCATTGTGCTTCTTTTTTTAAAATTTTTTTTTAACGTTTATTTATTTTTGAGACAGAGAGAGACAGAGCATGAGCAGGGAAGGGGCAGAGAGAGAGGGAGACACAGAATCTGAAACAGGCTCCAGGCTCTGAGCCATCAGTACAGAGCCCGGAGTGGGCTTGAACTCACAGACTGCGAGATCGTGACCTGAGCCGAAGTTGGACGCTCAACCGACTGAGCCACCCAGGCGCCCCTCGTTGTGCTTCTTAAATATGTGTGAATTGAAGGCTTTCATACATCTAACAAATTCTCTGACGTTGCATCTTCTTCTCCATTAACCTTCTGTTCCAATGAGACTCCTAACGGAACATATGTCAGATCTTACTATTTATTATATTCTCTATAGCCTTCAGTCTATTTTGTATTTTCCATCCTTGTATCTCTCTGGTTTTCCTTGTAGACAGAGCTCTTTTCCTCCGAACTGTCGTTCAGTTCACCGGTTCTTCTGTGCCTAATCTGCTGTTAAACCCCTCTGTTCACTACCGATTGTTAAGCGATTTTAGCTTTAGAGCTTCATTTTACTCTTCTTCTAACCTTCATGTCAGTTTTTGTAGTTTCCAGTTCAAAAATTTTCATTTATCGTCTATATTACATCTATATCATATTATCTATATCTATATTATATCTATATTATCTATAATATCTATATTGTTTCATTTATTATCTTCTTTATCGTAAAGTCTGTTGGGCAATCTATTTGGAACCCTCACACATCGTCACTATTCTCTATTATTTTCTCCTGTCTCATCGACACTTGTTTACGTTGGCATCTCTCCTTATGTGCCAGGTGACATTTGATAGTGTGACAGACCATGCGTTTGAGAAGTTGTGCTGATTTTTTCTTAATTAAGGCCTTAGATGATATATTCTTCTGGGGATTTTTGTTTGCTTATACCAAGGACTTGGAACCATTAGCAGAATAGAACAATCTGAATAAATGCTAAGGATTGAGATTTGGCGGGGGCGGGGGTCATCCAGTTGACTTAAAATTTGGAGGCAGCTATTCAAGTTCGGATCTATTTCTGGTTCATTCATTCTTGTTTTTAAGATTCATCTGTTTTTGATCCCAACCCAAAGAGATTGGAGGATTTGATGTGGCCTTCCGTTTGGGGGGCCCAGCTTCCAACTTCTGTCCCCCTAGCCTCACATGGTTGTCGAAAGCGCTACTCTTCTTTTTTGACACTTTTTCTGGAATTAGCAAATGCTCCTGAGGCAAAGTAGATTTACATGCTGAGCTCACCTGCTTGAAACTTCGTGTTCTCCCACATCCTGGCTTTGGAACTCTTCACTTCCTTGTTAGGTCTCCAGTACAGTCAAGTAGAGAGACTCTTCAAGTCCCGTTTTTAAATTTTTCTCTCTGAGACGTTAGGTTCAGGTGACCCCACTTTCCATGATCACAAATGGAAGTTTCTTTTTCTTTTTCAAGATACTATAGAATATTCTCAAAAATTATCAAAAAGCTATGCCTCCAAAAAGGACTTAGCCTGAAAAGCCCCCAGGAGAGTTTTGGTAAACATGTCAAGAGCAACATATTATAGTGCCATATTCACTGCTCCCAAGCATGGGAAAAGGAGGGAAACTTCCAGCTTCTTTTTGTGACTGTATCGCTGATTATAAAACTTGACAGAGGGTACATGCACACACACACACACACACACACACACACACAATTCCAGGATCTTCGGTAATAGATACCATCTCCCGGAAAGTCAGTCTTCTTACTGGTTTTAGGGCACAATTCGTTTGAAGTTGACATTTCCTATTCTCCAATTTAAAAGTGAAAATTAAGTGACGTGATATAAGGCATTTCTTTGAGGAGGTAAGCTGGGTTCTGTTTTGTGGTTGGATAAAAGGATCATCAAGAGTCAAGCAAAGCCTCCGTCAGTACGAGGACAGAGGGTGTGTACGTGGGTACCAGCCTTGAGTTAGGTCTATTTCCAATTGACCCACCTCTTAGGACTTCATAGCTGTAAGATGGAAAAATGAATGGTGGTGAGATAGTCGAGGATTCAGTGAAACAATATTTGTCAAGAGCACGCGCTACACAAATACTTGATTTTCCTCTTCCTGGCCATTTGTCTGGATTGTAAGACGAAAGACAGTTTCCAGGTTTTCTGAGGGACCGAGTCTGTGGAAACTTGGAGGTGGGTATGTGCGGAGCGAGTATGGGGGTGGCTTTCAAGGGCGCTGGGCCAAGGCCGGTGCGGACCTGTGACGGGATGGTAAGCACCAATGGCAGTGTCTCTGTCGAGAGAAGATTTTATGGAACGGGGAGGGCTACTCGTTGCTTAATAAGAAAGGGACTCTGACTGACCCTTATTTATATTTCAGGCTTATAGGAGAAAAGACTGGAAATGTTGGAAGAGGAATAAATATTGCCATTGTCAACTGTGAGTTATTAAATGTTTTCTTTCAAACTTCTCTAAAAGCTCCCATGATTGGGTTTTCAAAGATACCTTGGGTTTTTTATGATTTTTGCACACGATCTAGTCTAGGCTTATATCTGAATGTGTTTTTAAATTATTGGGTTATTTTTATAATGCCTCACTGTCCAGATTATTTGTGGTTTCTACAAAAAAAATGGGGTGGGGGGCTCCTAGATGGGTCAGTCAGAGGAGTGTGCAACTCTTGACCTCAGGGTTGTGAGTTCGAGCTCCATGTTGGGTGTAGAGTTTGCTAAAAATAAATAAACTTTTTTAAAAAGTCAAATATAAATAGGCTTTTAAAAGCCCCCCCAAAATAAAAAGGGCCCACAGAAGGCAGGGTTAAAACCAGCTAAGCATGCTATGGGGGCACAGACCGGTCTGGCATTGCTCTTGGATTCCTACGAGCCCTGCAGAGGGTGGCACCAGCAGCCAGTCCCCACCTCTGTGAGAAAATGCCACTTGGGCCTCAGGGGAAGCCAAGCCTGGCATCCTCGTAGACCTGGGAAAGACATCCTGTCACGATTGCCACTGGGGGGCCCTTGACCGTGAGAACTGTTGCAGGCTTGGGGAATGGGTTTTTCAACGTTTATTTATTTTGGGGACAGAGAGAGACAGAGCATGAACGGGGGAGGGGCAGAGAGAGAGGGAGACACAGAATCGGAAACAGGCTCCAGGCTCTGAGCCATCAGACCAGAGCCCGACGCGGGGCTCGAACTCACGGACCGCGAGCTCGTGACCTGGCTGAAGTTGGACGGTTAACCGACTGTGCCACCCAGGCGCCCCGGGGAATGGGTTTTGTGTGTGTCCTGTGCCTGACAGCAAGCTGAGCACGCGGTCCCCTGATCGTGGGGCTGTGGGAACCAGAGAAAATGTGCCCGCTCTGGGAATCCGGCTGGGAAATTAAAATATGAAGCGGAGAGGGCTGAGGTGGGCACCCCAGTGTTTCTGTGGGAGAGGTGGGTGTGGCAGGAAAGGGTAGGGCCCACCACCTAACTGAAAGCAGACAGGAGGAAAGTTCTAGAACAGCTGTTCAGCCATGACCTGACCTGCCCACAGCAGCCACGCTTCCTGGAAAGACGAATGTGTCGTTTTGAGCACCGTGGTGCCACAAATGCATCCCGGGGTCCAGTGAACTTTCTTTTAAAAACTATTTCTTTTTATTTTTAGATATGACTGGGAAAGTGATGGCAACACAGTATTTTGATATGTTTGAAGGAGGTAAGAAAACTCTTCCTATGAAAATTAAAATGAATTCTAAACATTAAGATTAAAAAGAAAACACAGATAAAAATGTCAAACATTCTTATTTTGTCTACTGAAAACGTTCCAGAAGCTCATGTGAATATTCTAGAACACTCTTACACAAGCCCTCCTCGTCTCTAACTGGATTCATCTGGTGAAGTTTGAAGGTGTTGTCTAGAAAATGTCTTCTCTGATCACGCTTGTCCTGGATCTTTTCTTCTGTTCCTTCATCGGATAATGGGAAAGAGAAAACATTTTTTTAAAATCAGATATGTGTAAAATAATGTGATAAGCCTCCATCCCTGAACAGCATCATTATCCCTATCCTGTTCGTGATGTCCCGCTGGGCTAGGCACACGCATCCCTGGGATGCACTGGACTTGACCGCAGTGGTCAGTCAGGATATAGCAGCCCCTTATATTTTTATTGAACAGTGAGGCTTATTAAAAACAAGTCTTTATAAGGACAACAGAGAAATTAAGAGATGGCTGGATGCGCCTGTTGGGCACTACGCATTTTTACTCTGTAAGTAACAGAAGCGTCACTATAAATGACAAGCCCCCGTGGTAAAACCATGGGGGCTTGAGATTAGCCCTTCCTGTTCTTCCCGCAAGACCTACCGGGCTCGGTCTGGTCAGCACGTCTGATTTCTCACCCCCATTCTGCATATGAGTGTCCTGGGGCCACTCTGCTGTCAGATGGTTCCTCTCGGGTCAGGGCTTCATTAGTCAATTGCAGAGAATAGGCCACATGCGCTGCGGTCTCAAGGTCGAGTCATAGAATCTTAAGGAGCCGCCCGTGCCCCTCACCTCTGCTGGTTGCTCCGTGGAGCCCAGCAGCCGCTCACTCGTGGACCAGGAGTACCATTTACATGGTCGTGGGAGGAGCTCCAGGAACTGGAAGATTCCGGGCAAACACAGCAGCTAAGAGCAGAGGAGGCTCAGCGTCCGGGGCCAGTGGACCGGGAAGACCCTAAAACTGATTGATTTGCCTTGACCCAACAGATAACTCCGGACAGATGATAAACTTTATTCAGAGCGCACCGTCAGAGTCGTTGCTTTTCATGGTGACCCACGATGATGGAGCCAGCAGGTAAGCGTGCACAGATTTGTCACAGCGGCAGGGGGGAAGCCAGCTGGCAGAGAGCGCCAGGCTACCAACAGGGCCCCTCAAGAGCATCCTGTAGGAAAGAACACAAATCCAAAGGGCAGGATGCTTTCTCAAGGAGAAAGAATGGGAGCCTCTGACAAAACAGCCTGTGTTCCTAAAAAACCCATGAGTAGCCAGGGGCAAGTCAGTACTAGAAGCTAAAGAATCTTTCCAGGTAGCAAGACGGAGCCACTGCTGACCACAACTAGCGCAGGAAAGCTAACACTTGGCCCAAAAGAGCTTAAACCCAGGGCTGGACTCCCAGAAATAGGAAAGGGAGTTGAGAAAATTCTCTGTAGGAGCACCAATAGAATGAAAAAGACACGCCCACACGCGCACAGTACTTTCCGTAGGGAGAGGTCCAATCGGCTCCGCGTTTCTCGCAATTCTGGGTAAACGCGTGCACCTTCGCTGCCAGACCTCCAAGGACCTCCAAGTGCTTCTGTGCGCTGCGTTTCCAAGGTGGATCCCGAACCCAGCATTCCCAGCTTTATGTGACCCCAGCCCTTATTTTTAATAGAGGATCTTACCAGACTGAAGTTATCTGGCGCACACTTGGAAAAATTCCGACTTCGCTCCCTCGGGGGAAACGCGGAGCTCCTTGTTTTGTTTCTGTTTTTTTCCTTTCCTCGCTGCCCGCCCTTCCTCTGCTTACTCGAAATCGCACGCTTTTACGATGGTTGGCCTTGTTTTCCGTTTTTTGTTTTCTTTTTTGATACTGACCTTTGTGAAAATGAAAGGGACCATTCTGACCTTTGCTGTCATCTTTCAGCAACTTCTGTCTGCTTATTTTGTGGTCAGGAAACAGGAGGGACAGCAGAGCCCAATGGTTATGTTGGCTGGGTGCGAGGACGTGACTGCACCCCAAGACACAGGGCTTTTGAGAATCGAGAGTTGAAACTGTGCGTCCCACACTGGTCTTAAGGAGTCCCTGATGTTGTCACATGTTTAGAAATCCGATATCCTCCCGCTGTTTACGCCAGGAGGAGGTAGATTGCTTTAGAAGCCCCTTTCCCAGGACAAAGAGGGGTGACCCTCTGGTGTCTCCACATGCGACCTCCACACGCCCTCCCTTCTCCCCCCAGGTTGAAGGAGGACGCCAAGAAGGTCATAGAAGGACTTGGAAGTAAACACATCAGGAACATACAGTTCAGGTCGAGCTGGGTGTTTCTCACAGCCAAAGGCCTTCAACTTCCCGAAGAAATTCAGAGAGAAAGTGTAAGTGTTTTTCAAAGGTCCTTTCCCACAAACGGTCCGTAGAGCGAGCTCTGCGATTTGAAAGGCCGTGGGTTGGTTACGGCCGCCTACCTCCGAGACATTCCTGCGCCAGGCCGGCCGTGTGGGCTCGTGGCCTGGGACTCTGCATTCCCAAGTCCGGGAAGAATCACGGGGAGGTGTTCGAGATGCCCTTCTAGGTGAAAGAGCCCATCGCGCAGTGTGGGTAACCCTTTTCACGTTACACCGTGAAAAGGCGCTCAAGTTCACACTGCCCAAGCCTGTTTAAAAGCCGAGGATGCTTGAGACTCCGCAGTCCGGGACAAGCCTCTCTGTCCTTCCCCTTGGCCGTGAGGCCCATAGCCGTGCCGGTTTGGGGACTCACCCAGCCTGTGCACGTGATGCGCTTAAAGCAGCCAGACACACGCTGGATGAATGCGGCCTTCATTGGTGTTGTTGCCAGAGGTCCACGCGTCATCGAGTCCCCCCCACCGTGTCCTCTTTGTGGAGGGAGAGCAAAGACCGAGAGAATAAGGTTTTCTGACGCAGGAAGTCGGTTGCCTGTGAAACTCCCAACGGAGCATCGGCACCTGTCCTGGGGGTCACAAGCGGGCACCCCTGGGAACCGTCACACAGCCCCTTGCAGAGTCGCCGCTCGCTGGGACACATGACAGCTTCTGGACAGGAGGGGTTAGCGGCATTGGAGTGAGGGCCCCAGCTGCTCCTGCGCAGGAGAGGCGCCTCCTTTCGAGGAGCCAGAGACTCGCAAGGAGGCAGTGGGCGTCTGGAGGCCGTCGTAAGAGGCTGCTTCCGACTTTAGGCCAGGTGCCCTCCTGGCACCCTCTGGTGTGGTGACGGGTCTGGGAAGGGAGACGCACAGAAACAGACAGCAGGGGGGGTCTCTCCTCGTTCGCAGGACCATCCTGGCTGGAGATGGGGGCTGGGAGAGGTGGGGCTTCAGTGTGGCCGCACAACCAGGTAACTCGCCACCAGCTCCCAAGGGAAGGCCCTCGGCTTCTCTGATGCCCTCCGCCGTAGCACTCTGGAGGCTGGGCAGCCGGGGTTATTTTAGCACGCCTCTAAAAAAGCACGTTTCCCCTTGTAACTCTCAGGTTCTTTTACCGACAGGAAGCCAGCCTCGCAGAACAGGTTAGGAGTGTTTACCCGGCGCCCTAGCGTAGACTTCTTGTTACTAATGGCTGGGTCCGGACACCCAGTGCCCAGCAGGGACCTCAGCGACCTGCCCTAATGAGAAGGGCGTTCCCTGGGCTCCGCGTGGTAGCGCTTGCCTGGGCCAGGGCCGCCTGGACCCACTCTACTCCGTGAGGTGAGCTGAGCCAGGGGCCAGGCGCAGCCACATAAGGGTCCGTGGGGATTGAGTGGGACCGGTGAGCAGAGAGCAACTTCCCGGAGCTTCCCCTGCCCCGCCGCGTCGCACTCGTCCACCCCCAACCTGCCGTCCCTAAGACACTGATGCCCAGGCCGTATGCAGGCCAGCCAGACTAGAGTCTCGGGGTGGGAGCTGGCTGGTGATTCTGATGCACAGGAAGGGTTGGACCCGTTGCCCTGATTTGCACGGCGGGTTGGAGGCCCTTGCCCCAGCTCTCTTACCCTGTGTCCTCCCCACCTGCCCGCCCCCCACCCCCTCCACCAGCTCCCTCAGCCTCTCTGGGTGCCTGGCTCCACCCCCACGCCACCTGCCCCAGGTCAGGGACTCCAGCCAGAGCCCAAGCCTGGCCGCCTAGGGGTGCACTGCCCTTAACCACCCCACCCTCTGGTGCCTGAGTGGGTCCTCAGCATCAGAAAAGCCAGGCGTGAGGCTTGAATGCCTTCTAGCTCAACGGTAACATCTCAACAAACAGGTTCCCTACTAATGTTCAGCTAAGACACTTAAAATAAAACCTCATTTGAATTGCAAAGTAGCAGTGGCCCTGGCTCTCCAGGCCTTCTCCTCGAGAAAAAGTTTCTGGAAGAGGAGGAATCAAGGAAAGAGTGCGTTTCCAAATGCGGTCCTGAGTTCAGAGAACCCATGTGTTTTGAAACGGTGGGGGGGCGGGGGCAGGGGGGTGGGAGGGGGGGCTCGAAGGGAATTTTGGGAAAACGCGTGTCTTCCCTGCATGGGAGGGTTGAAGATTTTTGCTGCAGTGGCTACAAGAGTATCCTGATGAGACCCGAACCCGTGAGCGGGTTTTGCGAGGGCTGTTAGAGCCGCGGCTTGGGGACACACAAGGGGGTTTGCTCAGATGCCAGCGAGGCCCGAGCTGGGGGCCTCGTCTCACCCAGAGCTCGAGTCGGGTACTGTCGGGGGATTCACATGTCTTCCTGATTTGGATATGCGGACTTGCTGCGTGGACTTCCCTGAGGGTGACGTCTGGCTGTGTGGGATGGGCCTCCGGAGCCCTGGGTGGCCCCCAGCCACTGTCGCATCCAGCCCCCTGCTGGTTCCAGGGCATAGCCCGCGGGTCATTCTCGCGTTTGGAAGCCTCCACCAGCCCTCTACACACCAAACTGAATCTTAAAACGTAAGACGCTTGCTTTCTTCCGAGCTACCCAGGGAGGGATCTGTCCGTCATCGTTCCGTATCCCTGTGGTATCTTAAGGGGAGACTCGCGGTGTCCGAGACCTTGACGTCCTGCAGGCAGAGGAGGAGGATGTCCTTGAATTCCTTGCAGCAGGAACCCACCTAGGCGGCACCAACCTTGACTTCCAGGCGGAACAGCACCTCCACAGAAGGAGGAGTGGTGGCGTCTACGTCATGAAACTGAGGAGAACCAGGAGAAGCTTCTGCCGGCAGCTCGTGCCATTGTGGCCATTGAAAACCCGGCTGATGTCAGCGTCCCTCTCACCCATGAATCCCTGGCCAGCGAGCTGGGCTGCAGCTGGCCGCTTCGCTCCTGGAACCCTCCGGAAGCAGATCCAGGCGGTTGCAGACCCCAGGGCTGACCACCAGCCTCCCAGGGAGTCATCTCATGTTAACCTGCTTCCCGTTGCTCTGTGCAGCCCCAAATCTCCTCTGCGCTGTGTGGACCGGTCACCATCCCATGCAACACCAAGGGAGCTCACTCGGGGGGACGCCGGCCTGGAAGGTTCTGCGCGTGGCTGGCTGTGGGAACTTGTGCCTGATTTCCGCTTCTACGGAGGCCTGAAGACATTGTAAGGGAAGAGCAGGCCGCTGTTGGAGAGGCTGTGACCAAAGAGGAATTTCAGGGTGAACGGGCTGCTCCGGCTCCTGAGGTCACGCTGGCCTGAGGCGGGCAGGTGCCCTCTCTGCCTGTTTGGCACTTTACCACTGGAGACTGAGCAGTCAGCCTGTCTCTGAGGGACTGGTCCACGGCTTCCCCTGCTCGGGCCACTGAATGGCTAGGAATGACCCCTGATTCTATACTTTATTTTTTTTTTTTTATTAAAAAATTTTTTTAATGTGTATTGATTTTTGAGAGACAGAGAGAGATAGAGCATGAGTAGGGGAGGGGCAGAGAGGGAGGGAGACACAGAATCCGAAGCAGGCCCCAGGCTCCGAGCTGTCAGCACAGAGCCCGACGCGGGGCTCGAACTCACAAGCTGTGAGATCATGACCTGAGCCGAAGTCGGACGCTTAACCGACGGAGCCACCTGGGTGCCCCTGATGCTACACTTTCAATGTGAGTTTTATCTTAGTAAATCTGTTCTATAAAAAAAGGAATGTAAAACCGGAATGAAACTCCTGGAAAGTTACGGAGACTACAGTTCCATAACGATGCGTGTGATCCCTCCTGTGCTTTAGATTAAGGCGTTCCGTTATCTGTGAAAGGATCAAAGACGTGAAAAACTAAAGCCCAGTCAGGATGAGCACACATTTGCTGAGCAAGGGACTGTACAGTTTCCCTGAAAAGCATACAGTCCTACTCCCAGAGAATTGGAAAGTAGGTGTTCGAGCTATGCGGCCCAATAAGGCAGCTCCTGGCCACATTTGCATTTGCATTTAAATTTATTTAAATTAAATAGAGTTTAGGGGTGCCTGGGTGGCTCAGCGTGTTAAGCATTGGACTCTTGATTTCTCGCGGTTCATGAGGTCGAGCCCCACACCAGGCTCTGCACTGATGGCCCAGAGCCTGCTTGGGATCCTCTCTCTCTCCTTGTGTCTCTCTGCCCCTCCCCCACTCGCACACACGTGTGCACACTCTCTCTTTCTCTCCCCAAATAAACATTTTTGAAAAAGTGAAAAAAAAAATGAGTTCCTTAGTCATAGTAGCCACATTTTCAGTACTCACTAACCCAAATGTGACTCTACGGGATAGCATAGACTCCTGGATAGATATCTACATCATTGAAGAAAGTTCTAGAGCTGCATTAACACCTAGTTCCAATATTATTAAACAAACTTTTTTTAATGTCTATTTATTTTTGAGAGAGGCAGGGAGCGCGAGCAGGGGAGGAACAGAGAGAAAGGGAGACACAGAATCCGAAGCAGGCTCAAACTCACAGACCGCGAGATCATGACCTGAGCCAAAGTTGGACGCTTAACCAACTGAGCCACCCAGGCGCCCCCCACCCCGGCTCCAATATTGTTATTTTTTCTCCATTATTATTAAGAAACATGTTGAGAAAAAAAAAAAAAATCAAGTACCCAGAGTAGTTTGGAGCGAATCCCATTTTAGGAAGTGATTCTGTTTTTATGACTTTGCTCATCGCTGACACATTAAATATTTGTTAATTAGATTGGTGGATACAGAAAATTCTTTTTCTTTTTTTACACAGATCAACCACTCTGACAGTGCAAGGAACAGATACTCTGGCTGGCCTGCAGAGGTACAGATAGAAGGCTGCATACCGAAAAAAACAAGCTAACGTTGCGCGACCTTAATAAATAGGTTATGTATAGACCAACACCGTGTGGAATGACCCGAGCATCTTAACCAACGGTCAATATGTGATGAGTATTTGGAGTCTGTCTTCAACCGAGCAGTATTTGCTAGCTGGATACAACCTTGGCACACGGTGTTTTTACGCCGGGATTTATCTAGTGAGGGCACTAATGAGCAGGAAGGCTGACATGGGTAGGAATTGTGAGGGGAGGGAGGGTCTGGCCTGGCAAGGAGCTTCTGGGGGAAGCGAGCTTCACGTAGACAGCCCTGCATAGACAAAACCTTTATTGTGTTAGCACCAGGCACACCCTCGTTTTGGACCTGGCTCTCCCAGGAGACTGCGCACAGAGGGCTTACCAGAGCTGCCTTGGTCCACTCCAGCTAAGCCCTTAAACTCTTCCTGGGGGTCCGTGAACTTACTCATTCGCCCCAGCAATCTGGCCGCACCTGCCTTCTGGCACCAGCATCATGGAAGTGAGGGAGACCCAGTCTCTCCCGTGAATGTAGGGGTGTCTCTCTGGGGGCGGGGATGGGAGGGAGGAGCCCGGGCAGGGTGAGCAGGGTCTGCTGTCAGGAGGACAACTGTCTACCCCCCACTTACCGGAGGACGTATCATGCGATATGGGGCTTGGGGGTAAGGAAGTCACGCGCAAAATTCACACGTTGAAATCCTAACCCCTGGTGCGTCCGAACGTGACCCTTTTTGGAAATCGGGTCATTGCAGATGCAGTGGGTCGGATGGAGTGGGGTGGGCCGTGAGCCAGCGTGACTGTGTCCCTGTGGAAAGGGGGAATGTGGACGCGGACGCGCACACAGGGAGAGTGCCCTGTAAGGATGGAGGCAGAGATCTGGGTGATGCCTCCACGAGCCAAGGAACCCCGAAGACACCAGCAAACCCTTAGAAGCCTGGGGCGAGGCCTGGAGCAGACACTCCCCGGGAGCCCGTGGAGGGCACGGGGCCAGGGCAACGCCTGGGACTTTTGGCCTCCGGACTGAGGGTCAGCGTCTGCTGTTTAAGTCACCCAGGCTGTATGCTGCCCAAGGGACATGGATACAGTTGCCTTGTGGTTCTAAACTCTCGTGCCCATAGACCTTTCTGTACTAAAGACGGGGAGGGAGCATATTTTATTCTGACTGGGATCACTACATTTGCATAGCACCGTGAACTTGATGAGGCCTCGGGGCCTCCTGGCCTAGCACATCCCACCGTCCTGCTCCGGGATGCGAGGCTTCCATGACACCCCCCACCCTGACACAGCACTGGGGCCCCTCGGTCTCTTCGGGCACCTGCGGTGGCCTTCACTGGTGCGTCCCCACCAGGGGCACAGGACCTGTCCTGTCTCCTGCTTACAAGGGCACTGAGTGTGGACGTGGTCGTGGCCCCCCCGGGCGCCAGCGCTAGGGAGGTCCCCATGTCCCTTCTCACCGTGCCACCTGCTGACGCTCACTGGCCAAGCTGACTGCCGGCCAAACACAAAGCTTCCTGAAAGTGTCCTCCTCATCAGGTTTATGTTTTCTACCTGAGCTTCCACTGTATTCCGTTAAATAACATGGCCGGTGCGATGGCTCCACGTTAGCGCGTGTGACACTTTAGGCCTGGGGTACTGCTGCGGGCTAGGCCCCGCCACAGGGTTTTCTTTCGGCAGGTCTCGCGGAACTTTCCCGAAAGCATCTGTTCCCTGTCTGCACGGGGCGGCTCACGGCCCAGGAACGGTGTCAGCCGTGGGACGGCTGTGCTGACGGTGTCCCCTGCCCCGCGCTGGGGAGTGCTTTCTCCCCGCAGAGCCCAGTGTCCTCACCAGCCACCTCCCGGAAGCCCCTTTGGCCCCCTCTGCAGGAGGAGTCAGGGGCTCTGGACCAGAGGTAGCTGGAGACAGTGAGGTGGTCACTGAGGGGGTGGCAGAGTGGGGGCCGCGGGCAGGCCT